CCTGTGGATGCTTTGAGTCGCGGGTGAGCTTGTCCAGCGTACTCCTCCCATGATGATAACATAGCATGCAAATATGCTGGCCCGCGTATCGTGGATGCAACGACTGGCTTGAAGATTAGATGTTGTTTTTTTGCACCGTTGCCAATGATGGAGGAGCTAGTGCAGCTCGAGGAAGTCTTTTACGATGACTCTCTGCAATGATGACATTGCGAAAGTCGTTTACTACAGTCGACGTGAAGTCACTCACGATGACACCCTACACGACCTTAAGTGTGATGACATTGCGGTGGTCGTGTTACTACGGTCGAAGGTCGACTCAGCGAAACTACGTTCATCATCATTTATGGACGATTTGGTTCTTGAGGAATTTTGACAGCGTGTGGAGTTACGCAGAAGACCGACTATTTTAAAGAAGCAAACTGATCCTTATTGTTTACTTGTGTATGTCATACAGAAATGACGTCCTTAGTGCAAACCCGCCCTCCGGTCTTCGATCCGAACGCGGAGTTCGACACAAAAGTGATCGTGAACCTGGTTCAAAGCATGCAGTGCTTCGATCGTGGTTACTGTCACGTGAGCAAAGTGAGCATATCATTGAGCTGTTTGTTTAGAAGCAAGCTGCTGGTTTGGTGTGGGAGAGCAAGCTTCCTCGCAGTGCATCGACGTTTTGTGTGCGTAAACCAAATGGCAAATGGCGTGAGTTCACACCTTTATCAGAGGATTCGCGCGCAAACGTCGATTCCGCGTAAAGATGTCATCATCCACCGGATGCTGTACACTGTTTGTTTAGTTGATTTGCTCGTCGAATACTTACAAATCTTTATGAGAGAGGAGGACGTCTCTTTGACGGCTGTACGTACACCGTCCAGTATGATACGGGAGGGGCTTGTGATGTCATAGGGACTATTCAATGCCCCAGCAACGTCTAATCGATTAGTCTCCCATCCGCTTTAACCAATGCAACGCTTCGCAGGTAGCGTCGCGGTTGATCTGCCGAAAAAGTGCACTCAGAGCATTTCCGTGCAGTGCTGGAATGTATGCGTTAATACTCCATGCAAGCAAATCTTGCAAAGTTTATTTTCGATGCTAACGAAGTACCGGTCCTCGGTGTCATGTTGGTGTGAAGAAGCAATCACTCAACCAAGAACAGCTTGATGGAAGTATGATTGCTTGCTTTACTAGATGAAACAAAGCCGCATAACGTGGTGTGTGATGCTTTTGAGTTTGCAATCCGTTGCGCAATATTGCAAAAGGACTCAGAAGGACACGATCTCGTTGTGTCGTTTCAATCACGACAGCTGAATCCAGTAGAAAAGAACTCTTCTGTCCTCAACAAACAGATTTTGGCAATAAAATATACGCTGGTGAAGATCAATGTCCACCTCTTGGGTTGAACTCCGTTAATTGTCTACACGGATCACGCAAGAAAGAGTTATGAGTTATGCAGCTCGTTGCATCACTTGTCATAGCGAATGGCTCGCTGGCTGTCATTCTTTGCAGAATACAACTTTACGGTCATGTATATGCCAGGGAAACTAGCCATGCTGGTAGACGCATTGTCACGACGTCCTGATTATGAGCAAACTTATAACAGCTTTGTCAAAACGATGTATTCGATATGATACGTCGAGCGTATGTCGAAGATGAATAGTGTAATCTGATCATCAGAGCACTGTCGTCGAATGGTGTGAAATTCCATGATAAGCTTGCTGGTCGCTTGAAATTAAGGTTGCGTCGTTATACATTGAAGGGTGGCCTCCTTCACCAAAACGTTACACGTGACGACGAGCCACGAATTCGGTTTCCCTTAACATTAATCTGAAGTACAAGATAGTGTACGAGGCGCATGATACGCCAATGACCGGCCACTTTGGCTGTGAGAAAACTTTCAGGTCTCTCATTGCCCAATTTTTGTGGCCCCACATGTACAAAAGGTGGCACAATACGTAAAGACATGCGATGTCTATCAGCGTGTGAAGCGCGCACGGCATACGCAAGTGCCGCTGCAGAGCCTTCCTCTTCCTACTGACTGTTAAACTGAGCCGTTCTCGACTTTATTTTGGCCTCCCAAAAGCGCTGATGGTCAAAACAGGGTACTCGTCTTTGCTAACAGACTCAGCAAGATGGTTCGAATCGCTCCGTGTAGTGATTTCAACGATGCCGAAGGTTCGACAATTTTTTCATTAATCACAGTTTCACAATCACGGGTTGCCGGACGCCATCATCTCTGATCGTGATACACGATTCCAGTGTGTCTCTTGAAAGAATTGTTCCGATTTTTGGCACTCGCTTGGATAAAAGTCACAGCGGTACAGCCGGTCACCGATGGACAAACAGAACGTACCACCGAGTGATCGGTAATGTGTTGAGACGTTTCCGTGCGGAACACTCCTCGGAACGGAGCTTGTTATTACCATCGGTTGAGTTTGCTTTGAACAATTCAGTTCATTCATCGATTAAATTTACGCTATTCTTTATGAATGAATTGCGACACCCGCAATTACCGTTTTATGCGATGGGTAGTAAATATAGTGAAAGTGGGGGAGGAGCTCGGCAAATCGTTGCCTCCCAAAATTATACAATCAATGATGCGCATGCGAATGCGCAAGATCGGCAAAAGTAATACGCAGATGGACGAGGCCGTCAAGACAAAATGTCTGACAGGGTTTAGTACTAATTAGTACTAAAACCCCGTCGGACGACGTAGTCTCAAGCTTGGGAAGTTCGAAGCTATTATGTCGCTTCAATGGTCCATCCGAGTAGAATCATGCAATCGGAATGCTTGCACTATCGCCCTGCCAAGCTGACTAAGGAAACATCCCAGCATTTTACGTAGAACTCCTCAAGCCCTACCACCGCGACGACGCAATTTTCGCTTCTGTTCAAAACTGGAACTGTATTTAATTGTTTGAGTTGCGGCAGAAACGCCAATATCTAAAGCCCTAGGTTTTTACAGTTACTATAGTACTACTGGCAATCCTGCCACGTGGTGGCTTCTTCTTACGGTGTAGCCACACTAGTGTGTGATTATACTAACTGAGCAATACACACCTATGTACGGTCGCACAATCTTGTACGACCCGCTCTTTCTTACAAGGGCACGTGTAACCCCGTTACAATACTTCAGCGGCGACGGAATATCGCAAAATGTTGCACACACCTGACTCCCACCGATATCGGTCCCTTGTGCTGAGTAATTGGACACGGGTGAGTCGATCCTAAGAGATAGGAAAATTCCGTTTGAAAGCTTGGTTGTTAATATCGCGTACACACATTTATCGAGGAAGGCTTAGGTCAATTGACACTCCCAACCTCACTTTTAGCGGGCCGCTACTTTATGTAAGGAGAAAGAAAGGTGAGGTGACATTCACTATTATTACCTAATAGGATTTTAGCCCCTAACCTGATAAGTGCCTCCGGTTCCGGTACAACAGTACTTTTAGGGATGTAGAGCTATATTGGGTGTGCAGTTGATGATAAAAACACAAATTATGTGGTCCTCACAACATGTGTAATTGGCCAGGTCCCATTACACAACCCCACACTCAGAAGTGGGTTTATTCAAATTCTTCTTCCGCTCTTCGTCACGCTCTGTCCAAATTTCTCTCCAGTGACATAGAGTGACAACCCACACGCTTGCTCCATATGAGATCTTCGTCACCATCAAACATGAATATTTTTCAATACCACGTCATTCAGCGCATTTTCGCTATCGTAAACTCGCCATGATGACTTTCACGTAGTTCCACGTTAGAGTTCGACGCATCTTTTGCTTAAACGGGTGCTCGACTGATGACTGGAATCACATTTTTAGCGCCATCGAACCGATCACTCGTACCGGAGGTGAACCACGAAGTCTCACGTATGTATTATGCATCCAGCATCCCAAAACGGAATCCATACAGACAACCAACACTCGATTCTGGGCATAGGTCTAAATCCGTGGACATCCACCGCTCGCAAAGCTTGCATTTGACAGCGCAGAATCGATTTCACTCCGATATCGAGGATGCTCGTGAGGTGCGTTTGGTCATCGGTCGAATCCACGATATAAGAACAGAGGGAGAAGAGGAAGAAAGGGCTTCTCTAAGCGGATTCCGTCTTCGGACCCGTATCGAATGCGCGAACGATACTGGACACATGCGATGAATTCGAGTACGAGGCTCCTACGAATTCTCTCTCGCTGGATGTCTCAGCCATTTGTCCAATATCTTTTGCGACCGCGGACGTTCCAACGTTCTCGACATGGTTATAACGGTTTATCTGCCGGTCTCAATGAGATGGAGGTGTCCGGAGCGAGCGTCTCCTTTGCTTTTTTGTGGCTGGTCCGCAGTCTTCGTTCGCATTGAATTTGCGTTTGACAAAGGTGGAGAAGCCCTCTCTCGCTGATGAATTAGCGGCCCATCGAGGTGACCGATCGGTTGTCGTCGACATGACAGCGCGTGAAAAATTATCGACTGGCCGTTCGCGATTTCGCGTGGCGTCATGAAAACTCGCCGGGGGATGCAATCGAAAATTGGATCCATCGATTGGAGCAGGGAGAAGAAGTGTTGAAAACATTGAGGTCGGAGGTGCATTAGTTAACTCATCGAGCATATCAGCAGACTCTGCAAGCTTTTCTTCCTGCTGTGGCTGCTTTCGCTGATAATCGGGACCTCCTGCCAAGCGACCACGCTCTGTTTCGGGGGTTCCCGATTATTCTCGTCAATTTGAGTACGATGCTCAAGCGATGACGCCAGCCTTCGACCCTTGTGCCATAGCCGTGGCTCTCAAACCACCTTCGAAAAAGACTGTGTTACATCCAGGTTCTAGGATGGATGCGCTGGGATACAATGCCATACGTTTGAGGCTGTAAATCGTTTCCCGCGGGATAAATCAAGCGAAAATGACAAACCTATCGGAGGGAATATGTGTGTCTTGTCTGGCAACTTTGAGTATATCGTATCAGTCATTGCACGGGGGGATCAAGCAGAAGCTATCGAATCCCGTTCAAAAATATCGCATCCGTGGACAACATTCGCCATTTCATCGTCCGGTAAACATGCGTCAGCAATCTACTAAATCCACTTTAGACGATCTGACGGCATTTGACTCAAGGTAGAAAAGGACGGCATGAAATATAATCCGATACTTCGTCAAAATTAATCAGCTTACATTGATATTTGATTGACAATCTGCATGTTGTAGATGCGGCTTATGTACCGTGGATATAATACACCAGTTATACCGCATTAACTACAACAAATGCTGAAGCACGTCGAAATAACGTGGATGTGGCGCAACGGCTAAACAACAATTTCATCACCTTCTATCGAACGAGGGATGATAAAGACCCTTTTACTAAAGGCAAAGTACTAGATAACATTTATTCAACGGGGTTCTACCACATTCAAAAAACATACCAGGCATAACAATTATCTCATCCTGAGCACCTTTACCGTCGAGGTGTCATATCAACAAGTTCTAGAAGAAGCAAATAGCTCAATAATTCTTTGGCATCCTTCAGACTTTACAGTTTCAGGTGCGCTACACACCGCTTTCATGACTGCCAAAATATTCAGAACCACTTCAGGGAACACATAAAAAAATATCATGACTGCCTTCAGTTAAGGAATATATAGCATTCAATTTGACGACAAGGTGTTTCGTCGTGAGTCATTAATTATGACACCTCTGACTTCATTTTCATTTTTCAGGATGTGCTCATACGCAATAGTTAAAAACTCATAGTAACTGTTGACGATGTCAGATTCAACGTCGCTCAATCTGGAATATCAGTGCTTTAAAAATACGTTTGTTCACTGATATCAACTCAACGCGTTCATCTTGTCCTGTGTTGTCTCAAGACATCGCTTTGAAAGACTCAATTTCATTAGATACTAACTAGCCAGGCGCCCCAAATCCGCGTAACTTAAATACCTGATTTACAGGTCCTAGCTTTATGATAAATTCTATTTTGCCTATTGTGCGTAAACCGTAGCTTTTTAGCCACTACAGTCTAGAGTGATTTTAGGAATTTGATTTTTTTTAGAATCAAATTATAAAAAATATGACAAAGAAACTACCCAAGAAACCTTAGTTGCATGAATTCTAACCATCCACTACAGAAAGGAAGACTTAACGTAATGTTTTCATTATGGGATATTGAATTACGTTTGGATTCCTTATTCTAAATCGATCTGAATACGATATTCGAAGTATACATTTCTTCAGCATCTTCCATTTTCTGGCTCCTCGACCATCGCCTTGAGCTTAAATGCGAGGTAACTCTGGAAATAGCTACGGAAAGCAGTCCATACAAGAAGCAGGGGATGGTTGAAAAAATGACCCCATTTGTGCGCCGTATGTAATTATGCCTCGTTCATGTTAACGTGCAAACTGTTTGCGACAAAGGTAAGAAAATAAAGCAAGTGAATTGCCACTATTTATGAGCACAATGCAAGTCAGCTTTTGCGCTCAAATATCAGAAGCGCTGCAAAAATCACATAATGCTTAATTACGACAACTTAACGCGTTCACTTCTCAAACTTGGTTCAGATCCCACATCAACAAAGTGGGACCCTAGTGCAATATATTCGATACTTTTTGAACATCTGGTGTCTGCCCTCTTTAAGCTCGCATAGCAGAAGAAAAGTGGCGCTTATCACATGCGATTAGCAAGCAGATGAGAGTTTCGGTGCCGGCTCCGTTTCCGATCATTGAATAACAATCTGCAGAACAACATGTCAAAATTAACACTAGAGTGTATAGATATGGTGAGGGCTCATTTTTTTAAGTTAAAATGCCGAAGTCTCGCTCACACCGTAATCGCTGTGAGCAAGGTTGCAGCAGAAACAATCAAACACATTTTTATCGTGATACATTGTTAAAGGTATTTGGAAGCACTTGGCGATTGATGATTTAATCATAGCAAGGATACAGGTAATAAATGACTTTGATCATATTCTGTAAAAAGTCCACTTCATCATTCTTACATACCCAAGCAATATTTGCCGTAGCCATACACAGATCTTACTGTGAAGCTACTTTAAGGTGTATTGGCATCGAACATGAAGCAGGTATTTTGGGAACACTGCGCAGAAGTTAGCTCTTGTACCGAATTACAGCCTCTTCATCAACCTTTATCGTAATTATATTAGTTCACGCCTCCTCTAAAAGACCTATTTTAGCATCGTCTGCGAACACCTCTTGGTACAATTACGTAGATAGCTAGCTAGCTTTTACTCAAGATATTGTAGGTACACAAAATCTCTGATGCAATTATAACGGAACACATAAATTTTGCCGATATAAAATGCGGCGTCCGCACCCGGCAATTGCGAAACTTGAGCTACACGGCCAGCGTTGCGCGCGCCAAACAATTTCCGATGAGGTGTCTTGATGAAGCGGGTGGTAAGTGCGTAAGCAACCAATCTTTTGACTTATGTGATTTCCAATTGATGCAATATATAAGAAGTAGTAAGTATAGGACACGAACATAGTACGCTTTTAACCGAAATATTTGGGATGAATGCCCGAAGACCATTAATAGCAGTATTCTAGATGTGCTTTTAAGCTAGAGCTGTCACTACTTTAACCACTATTTACAATGAGCTAAATAATCTATACTTTTTTTGCAAGTTTTGCAAAATGCTTATTACCTTCATAATTGCTTATTTGAGTAACATGATACTCTAACTTCTTTTGATGAGTCATTTACTGTACATTTCAGTAAGATATTAAAACACTGGGGGAGATTAAAAAAACAGAAGAGATGTTCCAGACTAAGTGCGTGCATCCGGCGCATGCATGTTTGGTGTTTTTGCTGAGCTGACTCACTGAATTTGTATACATACGCTTCATAGTGCTGAATATGATCGTGGCGTGAATACATTTTCGCCCGAAGGGCGACTCTTTCAGGTGGAGTACGCCATTGAAGCCATTAAGGTGGGTCGGCATTTATAATTCATAACTCGCTTTGACTTACCACATACTTACGTTTGCTGCTCAGATGGGAACCACTGCTATCGGTGTTCGCACGAAGGAAGGCATCGTATTAGCCGTGGAGAAACGGTTGACGTCGCCTTTGTTGGAACCTGGCAGGTTAGTGGCTCTCTCTTATAAAGAGGCGACATTTTGGCAATAAAAAATATGGCGTGCAAGGTGTTAAATTTGTATTGCTATCATGCGAACAGCATAGAAAAGATCATGGAAGTTGACAAGCATGTAGGCGCTGCAATGAGCGGGATTACTGCTGACGCACAAACTTTGATTGATCACGCCCGCGTGGAAGCCACAAACCATTGGTTTTCGTACAACGAGCCTATGCGTGTACAGGCATTGACACAGTCCATCTGTGACTTGGCGCTGAGTTTTGGTGAAGGCTCGGACGAGAACAATCACAAGCAGAAAATGAGTCGTCCCTTTGGCGTTGCTTTGCTGCTCGCCGGTGTAGATGAGGCCGGGCCGCAGCTGTTTTTTTCAGAACCTTCGGGCACCTACTGGCCCGTGAAGGCTCACGCCATCGGTTCCGGGTCGGAAGGCGCACTGAACAATCTCAAGGACGGATTCACGGATGATCTGACATTGCAAGAGGCTGAAACACTTGCAATTAGCGCCTTAAAACAGCACATGGAAGAGAAGCTTACCAGCACCAATGTGGAATTGGCTATTGTCACGCGTGAAGAGGGATTTCACGTGTGCACTGCTAAGGAGCTGGAGGTCGTTATCGGTCGTCTGTAGAAAACACAAGCTAACAAAATTACGTAAAATGGCTATTAACTAGCTCGAAACGGATTGGCATGCTCTAAAAACTTCTTTTCTTTCGCTGCTGTAACCATGACTCATTTTGTTGACCTGAAGAGAAGTATCATAATCTTAGTACAGGCCTTCTATGTACTTTTCGACGAGGTCAAGAGAGTTCGACGAAATAGCAGTGCTGGCCTTACTCCTTGAATCTCGCCACTGTCGATTTCATTTTGTAAAATCCATGTGCGATGTTGAAGGCTTCTTTGTACTCCTTTCAATGTACACTCCTTCAAAATTTCCCGTGGCAAATGCTTAGGACCTCCATTGATTTTATGCTAGCATTTTGATGACGTTTATGTATGACCGAGAACATTTCCACACATGATGGTCTACAATACCTCACATGTGCTCTGTCAGCTTTCACGCAAATAATATAATCGCTGCGAGTTTTGTTTGAGCAAACGGAATTGATGATGACTCTAGAAAAGATAAGATTGCATTTCAACTGCTACACACTAAGGTGAACGAGATAACGTGACAGGTAGCAAATCAATTTCTGCCACACTTTACAAGTATCGAAAGAAACTTCTACGACCAAGAGAAGAGAAGAGGAGTGGGATTCGAACTCACGGTATTTTTATCTACTTCAGTTTTCAAAACTGACACCTAAAGCCACTTGATCAGCTATCCATAAAGATTTTGAACTTAACGTCTTTTTTGGGAATTATTCTTATATCTACCACTGTCGTAAAGATCGCACTATTCTCGGCAAGATTTTTCATCAGTAATAGACTGCGGATTTTGCGAATTTACTACATGAATCGTTCAGGTATTCAAATAAGACAAAAGCTGCGCAGCTTTATGCTTTTTTTACGAGTGTGAAGAAATTGCAACCGAGCAGGCAATGGTATAATGAATTGGTACAGCTGATAACCGACGCTCCACTTAACTAACCCCCCGCAGAGTTACTGTATTCTGCGCCATAAAGACATGGCAGGTCTTTTCAGAAGTCCGCAATTCGATTGATAAATCAAAAACGATGCGGAAAAGTGAGCATTTATTGTTCGATGCATTAAGCAACAACTTTAAGTTTTTCGTCAGCCTGAACATGCCCCCTTCCTCATCATTCGATCGATGCGCTTAGTAGTCAGGATCTAATTTCACAAAAAAAGTGCTGATTATCCGATCTGTAGAGTGCTGAGAACAAACTGTTGCGCAAACTGTGCGCCCGTGTCGTTTCGAAAGGAAGATGGAAGTGCGTGCAAGAAGCGTATACTTTTCAGTGAGATTATATCTATATAGAGTGAAGGCCACCAAATAAATAGGTACTATCTAAATTAGCATTTCTTAGCCGACTGTCACTGCCTGCTATGATATTAGGGCAAAGATCAACACATCAGCTCAAATGTAACAACACAGCTGATATACATTGCTATATCTGCAGCTTAATCGAATTCATTTATGTTAGTGAGCTGAACTAGCTGAATAAAGGAGAAAGACTTAATCCAAAATTTCATACATAATTTGGCAAAATGGTATCACCGGACGCCACCAAAAGAATAATAGCTACAAAACGATAGTGCGGAAAATGTAGTATAGCCACTCGCGGCTCGTGCCGCACATACAACAAACAACTGAAGATGCCGAGGATATTGCGAAGCCCTTCGCATTCTTGCTACAAATAAATGTAATAGCTGTTGCAACTTGCGAGCCAAATCGAACAGAGGGGCACGATTCGATGCACAACATCTTGATCCTCGCATTGTACGGACTCAGTGAATTTTCTGGCATCACTGCCTAAAAATATGCCTGAATAAAAGTAAAGTCGTACTCGAAATATGATCAAATTGGAAGTTTATGAGCATCTTGGTCGCAAAGAGATGATGTTTTGGCGACTAAAAATTGGCAGGTCAATTAGAGCGGGTGGACTATGTCTGGGAGTGAAGAATTCTTACCAATGTAAGACCACCAGACCCTCCACTGCTGGCGTATATCTTTATGGACGGTATCCAAACGGGTGCGACTTGCATCGAGACAACCGCCGGTCGCTCAAGCTCTTTTGAGGCTGCGGTGGGCGCTAACTTTCAGTGCGAAATGCAGCTTCTACCACGATGGCCGGGTAGTGCGCTGGTAATGGAAGCTTTAGT